AATGCCATTTGCTAACTCTTAATATTTTAAATGCTAAATGTAATAGATTTTCCTAGGACATTTACTTCTATTAATACTTAATGATAAAAAAGTTGAATCTTATTGCTTGCCAGAATTTGCTTTGCTTTTCTCTAGGATTATATATTTTAAAGTGGATTTAAATATTCTGTGTCATCATTTTTAGCATTTTCTTTTTTGAAATGTGGAACTTAAATAGTATATGGGGATCTCTAGACAATCTTTAGAAGTTTCCTGAGAGGTAAGCATGAGAGAGGTCTTTATGAATATTTTGTTCATTAATACTTCATTCACTCAAAGAAGAATAAAGATTGACACATTGGATGAAACTGACCGTAAAGTAAAGTGTTGATACATTTTAAGGCAATTTCTTAGTTTAGTGTATCATAATATTTAGGTATTCATCTGACCCTTTAGTTTTAATTTACCCGATACCATGTAATTTCTTAAAATTAGGTTAACTTAAAATACTACACAGCCAGGTGTGGTGGTACATATCTGTAATGCCAGCCTCAGCAACATAGGGAGGCCTAAAGCAACGTTGCTATCTCTAACTAAAAATATAAAAAAGGGGCTGGAGATGTTTGTTCAGTGGTTGAGGCCCCTGAATTCAATCTTTGGTACAAAACCAACAACCAAAAAAACCTACATAATGTCTTATTTAATATCGCTGTCCCATGTATTAAATATTAAAGGAACAATATCTTTATTCTACAAAATAAATCATTTCAAGTGCCAGTAGTGTTATGGTTAGCATACATTTGAAAATAGGTTAACTGATACTAGTATACATTTTTTGCTAGTTTACATTTTTGTGAAATAAAACAGTGGTTCTCAAAAATTTTTGACTTAATATTCCATTAAAAATTACTGAGGGGAACCAGGAACCGTGGTACATGCCTGTAATCCCAGTACTTGGGAGGCTGAGGCAGGAGAATCACAAGTTCAAGGCCAGCCTCAGCAACTTAGAGAGGCCCTAATTTTGGAGACTTTGTTTCAAAAAAGGGAATGAAACTAGAGAGATACTGAGAACTTCAGAGAGATTTTCTTTAGATTATGTAAGTATTTGCCATTTTAGAAATTAAGACAAATCTTAAAGAAAATGTGTTTCAGAAGGAAGAGTGGCCTTATTTTACTTTTTTTTTTTTTGCAAATGATTTTAATGTTTGGCTTAGACATAGTAAGGAAAATGGTATTGTTTTACATTTTGTAAATTTGCTTAATGTTCTTCTCTATAGGAAATAGTTGACTTCCCATATTTGCTTTCACATTCCATCTGTTGCAAAAATTTTTTGGTGAAAATCCATGAAGAAAATGTGCTTTACATGGATAAATAATAGAGGCTATCTTAATAACCTTTTTAGATAGTAGCTAGTATTCTTTGATACCTCAGTAAAACTTAAGTGGTAGTGTCTTAAAAGTATGTTTTGCAATAAAATCCATTGATGTAACTTGAATTTTGGATCTTTTATTCATGTATAGTTTTGTAATGTCATTAGAAAAATACTAGTTCATTGACTTAATTAGATTGTCCAAATGGTTATATGTTTTATTATACAGATTTTTGTTTTTTAAATCACCTTTCTTAATAACAGCCTCATTAGAAAATATAAACTAGATTCTCTGGGCAGTAATCAGTTTGTCAGGTGGTGTTATATGAATTAAAAATTTTGTTCCATGATGCTGGGTGTGATGGTGCATGCGTGTTATCCCAGCAACTCAGGAGATTGAGGCAGGAGGATCTTAAATTTGAGGCCAGCCTCAGCAATTTAGTGAGACCCTCTCTTACAAAATAAAAAGGGTTGGGGATGTGGCTCAGTAGTTGAGCACACTTGGGTTCAATCCCCATACCAATAAAAAAGTTAAAAAAAAATTGTTTCATGAACACAGTGGCTCATTATGTATGCAACCCAATCACACAAATGCATTTTTTGAAATACCCATCCTACTTCATAAAGCAGTGCTCTATGCCTACATTTTTAACATTATTGTTGTTACATAGAATATTTTAAAGCATGCGCTCAAGGATAAAGGTTTAATGCAGTTATTTTTAGTATTTCATTAAGGTATTCATAATTGAAACTTTTAAAATATATCACGTGACAAATACAGTGATTACTAATTTTTAAAAAATGAATGTAAGTCCATTGATTTTGCTAAAATGCTGTTGTTTTTTCCTTCTCCTCCTCCTCCTTTTTTTTTTTTTTTTTTTTTTGCCAGCCAGTGCTTCAGCACTTTTAAATGTAGTGAAAGTTGATAAGAGTTTAAAAAAAAAAATCTTAACATCATAGTATTGTACAGTATAGTGTTTTAACTCTTAGGGTTAGTAAAAGATGGAATAGTTTTCACCTCTACACTTCCTGAAAGGATCGATCCATGAACTGTACTTCGAAAACTCCCGTTTCTATGGGATGTGATTAGATATGTGGTTCTGGAAATCACCTGTACATTTCTTCCCTTTTTGTCATTTCTTTATTTAAATGCATGTGAATGACTAGCTTTTGAGAATACATCTGTGAAATAATTCTTTTTATGGAAGTGCACCCAGTTATAGAAATACTATAAATTGAACAAAAAACTTACCTTTTTTTAGGCTCGGTTGCTAGAATTCTTGAATTAAGGTACTTTGTGAAGGTGGAAATTTTATGAACTCCATAGAATTTTACAGGGTAGTTTAACCACTTCATATCTGTGTAACCTCAAGTAAGTTATTTTAATAGCTCTGTGCCTCCACTTTTATGATCTCTAAAATGGGATAATGGTAGACATATTTCATGGGGTTGTATCAATAATTTTAATACTGAGTTATTATAATAGCTTTGTGTTTTTGCACTGCAGTCTTTTAAAGTGTTATAAATAACTTATTTAATCTAAAACCATGTCTCAATTTATGGCAAAGTAATAAAGCATTATTAAAATTGGTTTAAAATTCAGTGATTTCCTTAAGTGATTCTTAATTCCATATGCAACACATATAAAGTGATGAGAATTACCATCTTAAATTCAGCTTATAAAAGCATCTTAATAATATAATCTCTTCCTCTTTTGCATTTTGCTACTAATATGTAATAGTGGATTTTAGAAAATAACAGCAACCTGTAAGGTTGAAAAGGAAACTGAAAAGTTTTACTCTTAAAATTGTGAGAAAATGGTATCAAATTAATGTCTTGAAAACTTAAAAGAGTAAAGCTGTATAAAATAGTATTCAGTAGTTTCCCCTAATATACTGTCAACATTACTAAATGAAAGTATATGTACATTTAGTGAAAAATTCTGTAGTGTGCAACATGAATTGGTGTTTTCATATACTCATATGCTGTCTTAGATAAAGAATGATAGTTTAGAACTTCATTCAGCTTATAACAGCATCAGAAGGGGAATGTTAGTGCCACTATTTGTATAGTTGACTGAAAACTAAATCTCTTCCATGTTAATATTTCCCATAAATCTCTTGATAAAAACGAATTTTGAATAATACCAAAAGAAAGTACTTAACTTTGTGAATAATAAAGCTAAGCATTGCTGTTCCACAAAGTGATATATTAGAACTGAAAAATACAATTTTTAAAAGATTGTTCCTTCACCCCACCAAATACATAAATCCTGGTTCCCTCAAAAAAGTCATCATAGAAATTTATCATGTATTTTAATATCTATGGTGTTAGAATGTAACCAGCTTCTCAATAATAAGTTATCAATTATAAATAATATCTAGAATATGCTGGGTGTAGTTTATCTTTTTCGCATGTCAGTAATAGTATCCATTAATGGGCAAGAGTTTAATACTCATTTTTAGGAAAGTTAAAAAAATTCTTATAATAAGAACCTTGGCATTTTAATTTTCTAAGTAATGTGACAAAATATTTCTTACAATGGTGTGCTTGTTGTATCATAGCTTCTTTAATTGAATCATAGTTTAGTTAAAGATTACCTTTGGCATCTCCATTGAGGTTAGATGGGCAGTGTTTTTAAAAAAATTTTAAAGGAGCCATTTGCTATTTAATGACATTTCCATCATGTTTTTATTTTCTTTATTTCTAGTTTCATATGTGCTTTTTACCAGTATTTTATATCATTAAACAGGAGTTAAAGTGAATGTTTAGATTTTAATAAAATTGATTTTAAAGGAACAGTAATAACACTTTCTTTAGATTTAAACATTCCTGCTTTTGTCTCGGAATGTTTTTCATGATTATTGCATTGAACACATTTGTCTGAGATTTGAAATGGTCATCAGTGTAGAAATTGCAATTTCAAAATGTTATTTCATCATTTCTCCTAGATATTTCATTGAAGTTAATCTGTTATTGGTAAAGTTTCTACCAAGTAGATTCTGTAGTGAAATTTGAAAGGTTGTGAACATTCCTATGACCTATTGTGTTAACTGTTAACCTGAATAGTACATTGTTTCAGAACTTCCCAAATGTGAAACACTTTCATTCAGGTTTTAAGTAAAAGCATTGCCCAGTTACAGGAAAGAAGTATTGTATGGATCTTTTAGTAACTGCTTTTATAGAAACTGAGTGGAATGATGCTTGATTAGTTGAAAAATAACAAAGTGCAAGAATGAATTATAATATTTAGACAATAAATATCATCTATAACTTTGAAACTTCAGTAACTTGGTTGAAAAACAACTGATCCTAGTTATTATTACTAGATTTTCCTCTGCTTGAAATGTGGACATATGTCTTTGATCTGTTGGGATAAAACATTTAAATAATCTATGGTAGGTTTTATGTAATCTGGTTTGTTTGTAATCTAATCTTGTAATATAAACTGGTTCTAAGCACTTGTAGTGTATTAAGCATGGGAGACAGAAGTTTCTTTTCTGTGTTCTTATTAAGTAAATGATGTTGGAAATTTTCAAAAATTTTACTGGAAAGTGATATCCCAATTCATTCTTTTCTTTTTGATTTTAGATGGGAAATGTAAAGTCTTAAGATCGATAGGTTGACTGTGACAACTATGTTTACTTACAGAGAGAACAGGAAATGAGAATGGGTGATATGGGTCCCCGTGGAGCAATAAACATGGGAGGTAGGGATTTGAAGCAAAAGCCTTCTGTAACTTACTTGTAATTCTTTGGGGATTGTATATGTTGTTTGTGATATCTGTATATCAGCAAGAAACTAAAATATGGAACTAACACTGAAGGTGAAATTTCTTATATTTATTAAAGTGAAGTATTACAATTGCATTAAAAATATATGCCTAGGGAGGAAATTTGAAAGATACACTTTTGTAGCTGAAATGAACAAAAATTACAAATTGGATTTGAAGTAGCCTCAAAGTAGCTCATTTGTTACGTGATGTAACACAATTCTTTTGTCATACTTTAAAAATAAAATTACATGCCTTCAAAATGGCTTTTTTTTTAACCTTGGAAATGGATAGTTTCTATTTGTGTTTTTTAATTTTTTTGAGAGCATTTTATGAATCTATTTTAAACTAGTTTTTTTGTAACTTTGAAGCTGCTTTTATTCATGTTACTGAATATTTAACCCTTTTCTCTTAACTATGTATTGTACATGGAAGATTGGAGATACCTATGACATAAGGAGACGAGATATGCCTTGCTAATGCATATCTTTAAAATTGGTGTGAACCTTAAAACAAAGTATCTTCGTTAACAACTTAATTTTAACTTGCAGAGCCAGGTTGTCAAGAAAGTAGAGTCAAGCAAATAAACTGAGGGAGAAGTTGTTGTGGAATATCATAGATCTTAATAAATTTGAAATTTGAAAATGCCATAAATTTAAATATTGGATAATCAATTAAATTTTATATAGTCACTTCCACATTATATTGTCTCACAGAAGCTGTCATGAAGTTAAAATCTTTATATAGCTCAAATGGATATACTGTCTTAAAGATCATATTACCAGGGCATCCAATATTACATAACTTGCATACCCTTCTGATAGGTTCTTAAAACATGTAGTATATGAAATAAAACTTAAAACATGGAATGTGGATAATGAGCATTTTTGATGATTAGCCCCCCTTTTTTAAAAAAAAATAAAAACAACCTCCGAGAAAACCTTTGCCAGTTCTTTCACATTTCTGACAGAGTACCTGGAAACATTAATTGCTATTTACTTAGTCATTTTTCCTATCAGACAACAAATGGTTACTGAGCATCTCTGATATACAAAGAAAGCACAAAACAAGGCCCTTGCCCATAAAAAACTTAATGATGAAGTTAGTTCTTGAATACATGCTAAAATCAGTGAAACGAGAATATAATTTCTAAATTATGAAATACAGTTGTATATAATGATGTACCAGTGGTTCAGAGTAAATTCTGGAATGGTATAATGACAGTCCATGTGTTCTTTAACTGCACGAGTGAGGAGGTCATTATGGAATATAAGCAGTTTCAAAGATTGTCATTAATGATAGAACAAAACTTTAACATAAAACTTAAAACTATTTCTGATGCTTCAGAGAGACACTGAGAAACATCCTCTTTGCTTGATTAATAATTTTATGACAGTATGCCTTTATATTCTTTATTTAGTTAGAAATTCAAGACAATTTAAATTTTTTTAACATTTCAGAGAATCATGTTTGTTTTAGCACTTATTCTTCTAAAGTCTGATTCATTTAATATTCTCTTCTTTAGTCTTCATTCAGTGTGAGACTTTATCTTAATAGTTTACTCAAGTTATAATTTAGTTGGGTTGGTGTTGAGTAAGTGAAACTGTCATATTTCATCAAGTTACATTGATAGGGCTGGAGGGTATTTAGTACTAGATCATGTGCTTGGCATGCTGGAGTTCCTGGGTTTGATCCCTAACACAAAAATGAAAATGAATAAATCGTTGATTGAATGTGGCATCAGATTTTCTGGTATGCCACTAGTGAAATATAGATTATAAAACTGCTTTTCAGGTAACCAGGTAATGTCAACATTTCTTAGATCCTTAAGTTTAGTTTATTTGTAGCCATATAGGTGGAAGATATAACTACATGTAGGTAGGAATATATATTTTTTTCTATTTGTAATGTTTATAGTTGTGCAACTTAAACTGACATAACAAGAAAGAAGGGGAAAGGCTTTAATTTTTTCTTTTTGGGGAATGTTAAGTTACAGTATGTCCTAGAACTGTCTTCCACCCTTTTTCATTTTTAGATTGTGGAAACCTATTCAGAATGACAATTTGTTATTATATTGAAGGAATGGAAATATTTTTGGATAAAGTGTAGATTTTTCAAAAAGAACATTTTGGGATTAAGGAGATAATTCCTTCCTTTGAAATTGCTTCCTAGGGTTGGTTTCACAAAACAATAGTATGTGATGCCAGGCATTGATAGGGTATAAGTTGTCTTTCTTTTACCTGCTCCTTTGACTCAACTCTATAGAGTTCAGCTATATTAAGTATTCTGTAATGAGAGTGAATGAAAACTTAAGCTCCTTTTATAATGAGTATCTGCAAAATTGAGTTCTGAATACCAGAAAATTGACCTACATAAACCAGGGGGAAAAAAACCTCAAAATTGTAATCAGTCACTTAAGAATTTTTAATGATAAACAAGCCTGAGCATAAAAAAGGAAAAAAATGTTTCAAAGAAAACACCTAAAAATGTTGTCTTTGAAACTGTCATGTATAATATTATAGCTGAGACCCTATTGTAATTAATTTTAGTAGATTGTTTTATAAAAAAATTTGATATGTCTCTATCCCCATTTCTAGAATTTTGAATGTTAAAAATGTCCATATAATCATTTTATCTGTGTTTGGGTGAATTTTTTTTAAGTAAGTTTCATCATGATGAGTCATTTTATATCATTTTGGTTTGGATTTTATTTTTTAATGTTTGCAATTTGGGTAGATATTTAATTACTATATTAAAGTCAAGAATTTAACTTCAAGTGATTTTTGCAGAAAATGGTTTCCCTCTTACAACTTACTGTCATTTACACGTTAATATTTTTAGCTATAATTTTAAGAGCTAATTGTTTGTTGATCATTAAGACTGATAAAATGTAGTCAAAATTGCTAGGGATTGTTTGGTTTTAAAGTAGGATTTAGTAAATGGTACTACGTCTTAAGTATCCTAAAATTCATAGTTACCTTATTTGTTTTATGTGTGTTTATTTTGAGGCTGAAAATTGTAGAGTGTAGGTAATGTTCTGTTACAGAATAGATAATTGAGTGTCTTATTTTCAAGGAAAGGATTTTGACAATAGTTTTGGTGTATAGATTGCATAAGTTTTATAAAATTTTTAATGTTTACTAAACTAAGATAGGACAGCTCTAAGTATAGATTGTTTTACATAGATGCGTTTAGCCCAGCACCTGCTGGTAACCAAGGTCCTCCTCCAATGATGGGTATGAATATGAACAACAGAGGAACTATACCTGGCCCACCAATGGGTCCTGGTCCTGCCATGGGACCAGAAGGAGCTGCAAATATGGGAACTCCAATGATGCCAGATAATGGAGCAGTGGTAATGTATCATAAATATTATTTTGATTATATTCAACTAATATACAATTCTGCCCCAAAGATAACTTCACACTTAAACATAATTTGGCATCATTTGTTTTAGCAAAAGAGATGAATAGTCATTGAAGAAAAAGTAACTTTGTGAAGTTATATTTTGATTTATGAGAAGCACTTCTTAAGTAGCTTGAATTAAGATTACCATCCATGGCATGCTTTTGTACCCAAGTATATAGCAAAAAAAATAGTCATTACAATTATTTCCAGTGCTTTTTATTTGTATTCACCTTTATCAGCTTTCAGTGCATTGGTTTAGTATTTTATGATTGTGTTCCTTTTCTGTGTAGACTCCTTGCCTTTGGGGACAAAACTCCAATATATATGAAAATGCAATTTTCAGTAGGCATTTTTTATTTAAAAAATGACTTGTTTTGATTTATATCAAAGTACTTATTTTCATTGTAAAGTATTTTAATGTAAAAACACTAGAAGTCTTTTTGTATGTTCTAAACTGACACTGCTGTATTCTTTTCACAGAATTACTAATTATACTTATTAAATTTAAACTTTTTAAAGTCTTTATCTGAGAGTGTGAAGATATCTTTGTATGGGTTAAATATTATAAAAACAAAGTTTCTCAAGTGTAATTTTTATTATATATTATCAGTAAACAAGACTGATAATCTTATCATTTTCCATATGCCACTATTTAAATGAGGCTTTATAATAGAAAATATTATTTCCTCATGTGGTATTTGTTCATGGATTTCAAATAACATCTAGAAAGAAAAAGTGGTTGATTGTATATTTTGAAAAGGCAGTTTGTTTTTGAACTTTCCTATCAGATGTTAAGGTACCATTGCTGCTATAAAAGAGAAAACACTGCCAGTTAAACTCAGACATTCCATTAGTGTAAATCCATGGTGATCAAGAGGACTCTAAAAATAAGATATTGTATGCTTGGGTGATAAAGTTTTTGTTTTTGGTGGCACATATAATGCCCTGGGTTTGATCCCATCCCCAGCAGCAGCAGCACCCTCCCCCCCAAAAAAAAAAAATTCTTGCATTTTAGAATTGAGGAACGCAGTGTTTTATCAGTTTAAGATTTACCTTAAATATAATCTTTTAAGAATTTGGAAAAAATTGGGTGTGCTAACAGTTGGGAGTTTTTAAAATTGATAGTTTGTGCAGGCAGATAAGGAGATAGTATCTTTTTATCTACTATGAACAGATGGCACCTAATGCAATTAGTATTTATTCCTTTAGTAGAGGCTGAGTAAAATATCAAACGGCTAGTAAAGCCTGGCGTGTTGGCACACATCTATAGTCACAGTGGCTCCAGAGGCTGAGAAAGGAGAGTCACAGTGCAAAGCCAGCCTCAGCAACTTACGGAGGCTTTAAGCAACTTAGTGAGACCCTGTCTCAGGGTAAAAAAGGCTGGGGATGTTGCTAAGTGGTTAAACACCCCTGGGTTCAGCCTCTGGCTTAAAAAAAAAAAAAGAAGGCTCCTAGTAGAAACTTCATTATTTAAAATTTTTCTTTAGCATGTAATCATAGTAACAAAGAAGTAATTGTTCTATTTTTCTTCCCTCTCCCTGAAATTGTATACCTTATTTAAATATCACTCACTTGGTTTATTTACACTTGTTTTACTACTATCTTCAAGGAGTTCTTTTTAACCCTTGAGATTAATATGTGTAGTTATTGTGAAGTTTTTCAAAAGATATGATTCAGATTTTTAATTGTGTTATTAATAGTAAGTTAATCATTTTTAAAAATTTATTTTCCCAATGCTAGTCTTTTAATGAAAACATCTCAGAAGTTTCATATTGAAATCATAAGTCCTTGCGTGTGTTTGGTCTAGTGCTTTGTGTCTTAAAAGCATTGATGTTGAAGTTTTTATGTTTATTTTTTAACACAATATGATGCTGCTCCCCAGTTTTATTTCTCTGGGTTTTCTTTTAAAAAGAAGTACTTTTCTTTTACAGCATAGTTTCATGCAGTATAAACTTTTTAAATAAAGGAATCTGAGCAATATCATAATTTTGGCTAAATATAGGCTAAAATGTCATTTGCTTATGTCATAACAGGTTTTTTTTTTTTTCATGAAATTGGGGCATAGCATTAGCAGTTTGTAAGTCTTCAGATGCTGCTTTTTTATTTTTAAACATAGTAACTAATTAAATTGCTCCTTTCTTCCTTCTATGTGTGATCCTGATTCTGCTGGACTTTCTGCTGAACTTCATGACACCACCACTTGGGATTTTGCCAATTTTTCTTGTCACTTTTTTTTGGTGTGTTACAAATGGACTTCATATTTCTTATGTGGTATTATAGCACAATGATAGATTTCCCCAAGGACCGCCATCCCAAATGGGCTCACCTATGGGGAATAGAACAGGTTCTGAAACACCTCAAGCACCAATGAGTGGTGTAGGTCCTGTGAGTGGTGGTCCTGGTGGCTTTGGTAGAGGAAATCAAGGGGGCAACTTTGAAGGTCCTAATAAGCGTCGTAGATATTAAACATTCTTTCATTCCTGGCTATTTAGAAAAAAAAATTTCAGTGGTATGCCTTTACACTTTTATCTGTTACCTAAAATAGTTTTATTGTTAATGTATGTAGACATAAACTTTTTCTTTTGTAAGATTTGAGGTTTTTGTATTTTTCTTTATTCATAAGCTTTGTAGATTAGAATGGTAATGATGATGCTCATCATTGTGAATGTTAAAATGTATTTGTGACTTAGCTAAATATAACTATGCCATAGTACTGTGAAATCTATGTAGTTACTTAATCTCAATAAAGAAATCATATTGGATCATTTAAAAATGTTATTGGTGGTATTCTCTTATGGTTTTACTAAACTTTGCTGTAACAGTAATAGTTTGGTTGCTTCAACTAATCCCAGCCGTTTAAAAAGTGAAAATGATTTTGCTTTTTCGTCTGTGCACATAGTCCTGAAGATAGAGAAGCTTAGTGGAAGCTAATGTCAATAAAGGGGAGATGGAGCAGTGTATCTGGGGATGGTGGGCATGCATTTAATTTGTATAAACCATTGCTGTTCTGTGAAATCGGACTTGCTGCCTATATTTCATACAGATTCTGAATATTCACATACTCTGAGAAGTTTAAGGGTATCTTTGTCCTGTGGGTTTTTTTTCCCCCAAAAAATAAATCTTTTGAATCTTGAAAAAAACTGTTTGAAAGTAAATCTCTTCTGCTTATAAAATAACATAGTTTTAATCTTGTCTGCCAACCTCTATTTGCTGTCAAATCTAGGTCTTACCCAATTATATACGTAGTATTAAATTTTTAAAAAAGATTCAGTACTGTTGGATTGGCAGTTAATGAGGGTTTTTTCTGTGTGATTTTGTGGTTGACTAGGTTTCTTGAGAACATTGGTATTAAAAAGATGACTTAATTGTTGAAAATATTTTCCTATAGTTTCACTTTCCTATAAAATTTGTTTGTCATCCAGGACTCTCTGTTTCCAAGGAATATAGTTTCACATGTTGATTTTTAAAAACCGAGAATTAACTTAAAAGTGGTGATAGCCTCTGATTAACTCCCTCATCCTTCAGATACCTATTTTGAATTTTGATTTTCAATATTTGGAAGAAACTGATTTTATCACATTAATGTTTATCTCAAAACAAACTCATAGCTATATTTAAAAATTTGTATATTGGTCATGTTTATTTAAAATTACATTAAGGAACTTACATTAAGGAACTTCCTGTTTAATTTAAACTACAAATCTAATTCACCACCCACTGATGACAGCAGTTGTTTCTCACATAACATTTCATTGTATATATGTATATCAGACTTTTACCACCTTTCTGAAAAATAATTTGCTGTTTTTAGGTAAAGAGTATGTAAATCATGCCTTTTATTTTTCCCATGATGTCAGTTTTTGGTAGAGGGCATATTTTAGAAAGAAATAATCTTAGTTAACTTAAAATCTTCCATAAAAGCAGTTGGTTGTAAAGCATAATTAAGGCTTATTCTGTTGTACCAGATAATGTTTTATCTGCAGTATTTCTTATTATATATTTTTGTAGTCAGAACAGTGTGTTTGGAATTATTATCTAAAACTTGGAATATTCACAAGCTTTTTTTGGGCAGTTCTTTGAAAACAATTAGAAAATAATAGTCAAAAGACTACTAGTTTTACTAGTTTTCTTGAGTGTAAGGTGGCAGAGAGTAGAATTTGTTTTAATTTGTGATACTAACTTGGATGTGAGGACTTTTAAAATTAATTACAGTTTTAAGTGATATTTATCGCACTTAAGTCTACCTTTCATATAACGTGTTTATTTAATCCTCCAGTAATTTTTAGCATTGTATTTCATTCAAAACTGAATTCAGATTGGGAGAAACTTGTTACTTTGATGTTAATACCAAGCTACCTTTTGCCAAGGCTGTGAAGTTCTGTATGATTCGTTCAAGAACATTTGAAAGCCAGTGCACAAAGATTTCTTAATCTCCTGAACATCCTAGTGTCCGGGCTCAACTCTGGCTCCAAGAACAGAGTTCTACACAGCTTTTCCCCTGCATCAAGAAAATCCTTGTTCCAGTACTTACCAAGTTTATCCTGGGAACAGTCAGCTTCTGAGTGACAGTCAAGTGGAGCATCTCTGAACTCCTAGTTATTCAGTTGTTAGTGTTTTTGTATAGTTAAACAACTTCATGGCTGGTAATTCAATATTTTTTCTTGTGAATTAGTATACCAAGGAACACTTTTTTGAATGTCATTTACATAAAAGTGGTAGATATAAAAATGAAGAGAAAATTCAATAGTGTTAGCTTTCTAAATAAGTATGAAGTTGTCTTATGCTATCATTTTTTTCCATAAAAAGATTAATGTGAAATAATTATAATAATCACAGTCGGGTTTTTTGCGGAGGGGGGGTGTATGTGTGTGTGTGTGATGATTTTAAGTACCAATTTTAAAGTCTGCGGGATTTAGGTTTCATATGCTTTCTGTAGTTAAAATGTGTAAAATAAATGTACTTTGATTTTTCTAATTCTTTTATTCTAGCAGTGTATTTTTTTGGAATTTCCCCCATTTTTGTTCATTTTGAAAGCAAATGAATTGATGTTCTTGACAGATGTTGCTTTTAAAGTAGTTTGGTTTACTGATATTTCATAGATATAATTTGTTATTCCGTGAGTTTAAAATTTTTTTTTTTCTTAGATCAGTGCTGAGCATTAAGTCAAAGAGATTAAATATTTGTTTTTAATTCTACAATAGTATATTAGGGGAAATAATCCATAATTGTTGTTTAATGGAAATTATCAACAAGGACAAAAACTTTGGCTCTTGTTTTGCAAACAGTAAATTATACTTTTATGATTTATTAAAACATGCTTTTTAAATATTTCAGTAGCTTTCTCTTTATGCATGAAGTGTAATAATTGATAAATATCACTATGAATGACTAAAAGTCACTAGTTCATGGTGGTTGACAGTTACAATATACATTCTGAATGAGAAAGAAGACAAATGTGTGATTGAAATGATGAGTTGTGAAAGAATGCAGTTGAAAGAATGTGATCGAAGTGTGGAAAAAGATTTAAAAGGATTGAAATTTAATGTCAAATGGTACTAGTCAAAAATAGAAGGGCCATGTCATTTTGAAAACAACAGAGGACGTAGTTTCGTGGGGAGAGACTGATATTTAAATGTTTTTTGTATAAGAGTTTTGTCGCAATATCTAATATGATTTTCAGAGGATTGCAGTGATTTTAAAAATCGAATCTCTTACTTTCAAGAATAAAACGATGAATTCTTGTTTATTAGACCCAGTAGTAAATATTTTACGGTATTCACTTTCTGATTAGATTGTTTGTAGTCATGGGCTTTTGGCGGGAGAAGAGAATACAAATACCTCAAAAGCTGGTTTATGTTACTTCTGCTGTAATTTCAATACCTAGCTGTTGAAAGTGAGGACATTTTTAAGGCCAGTTTCATACCAAAGAATACTGATCTCCATATATCAAAGCAAAAAGTGCATTTCTTAAGTTATATATACCAGCATAGGTTTATTTTATCATAAAATGCTCATATAATTAAATAAATTAGCAGTCCCCTTATACTTTTATAGAAGAGCATTGTCTCATTTTCATAAGCCTTTATAACTTAATATTTAACAATAGGAAATAATTGTCTTATGTTCCCTTTACATATTTTCCAAAGTTGTATAAAACAAAACATGCATACAATTGTTTCACAGTTGACCTTCTGATCAAGTAGTTTAGATTCTAACACTGAAATAACAAAAAATTGCAGAAATTTCTGTGTCAGGTCTTTAAAATCTGGATTTATATGTTACATATTTCCTTTTAAAACTATCAAAAGTGGTATTTTATGTGTTGTAAAAAACATTTTGAGGGTTTTGTTGTTGTTTCCTGGTAACTAAATAACAATATTAATTATTGAAGTTTGAAACTTCAGAAAATATTTAAAGGCTCTACCATAGTGCTGTGTTATCTAAGCATTTTATTTGCCCTTTTTGTCCTTTTTTTAGTACCTGTTTAGTTTATAATACCTATAAAAGACCTCTTTGTTGAACTTATTTGGTTATATTTTTATTTTGGCATGTGTTTTCTATATTTTGATTTGTCTTTGGAGAAACAAAAGCTTATTATTTCTGGGTTGAAGTTATTAAAATTCTTAACATGATGTAGCCAGAGTTCATGTATATACATTTGGAGAGAATTCAAATATATTGTTTTATTACTTGAAGCACCATTATTGTTACCAACTCTTCCTCTGCAGCAAATACTTTATTTTGTTGATTCTAAAAGAAGTCCAAATCATAATTGTTTTTCAATTTCTTTTTCTGGGTTAAAGAAATGAGCTTTAGAAGTAATGGTGTTCAGCTTGTTAGTGTCTATAAAATTTTACTTATCTCTTGCAGGTATATATTCACCCAGATTTCATGTTATACCCTTCACACCCAAAGTTAAAGTAGAATTAGTAGAAGTAGGAAGAATTAAGTGGAAGTTTACTTGTTTGAACATATGAATTTTTTCCCTTTTTAAAAATATTCCCCATATTTTAAAATAATTTAGTTGAATTTTTTTTTTTTTGGTTATTCCTTAAATACAGGACCCTGCCTTATATTGACAGCAATGTAAGTGGACCTCGAATTTCTTAAATACTATATGTAAGTGGTTTGTTGTTTGTGGTGAAGACTTTAAAATTGATAATTATATGTATTTTTTCTAGTTCTTAGACAACTTCACATTTTCATTTTATATTTGTATTGTGCATCTCTTTGTATGTGAGCTACTGTCAAAAATTTCATAGCCACAATCAAGTTTTGTATTTTTCCCTGGATCTCTGAGGTATACTTTTCATGTTTTAGGTTCTTTTATAGAAAAAGACATTAATGTTTGTCAACTGACCAGGCTTTTGTGAATATGAATGAGATTTTGTGTATGTTTTTGGATTTTATAAGAACTATGTAAATATAATCCTTTGCCTTATTATTTGTGCCATGTTTGGACTATGAGTTACCTGCCTTTTTATTTTTATATGACTATTCAAATAATTTATTTTTGCGAGTTATCTCAAGTTTGGAAGTGCAGAAAACATCTTATTGTACATTTGTTAGAGTAATTGTTCATTTTTTCTTCAGAGTATTTGCACATTACTAGATAACATAAACCAATATCAAATTTGAGATGTTCCTTAGTTAAATATGGTGGTTAGTGTTTTTATGTAATGAGAAAAACTAAACTGAATCTCACATAGTCATTCTGTAAATTCTGTCCTTTCTGGTGTTAGAGACAATCCCAGTAATTTGCTCTGTAGTATTTCGCATATTTTAATTTTTTGAGCTAATTAGAACTTTGTGCATATTCGCAGACTTGACTATTTTATACATTGGCATAACTTTGGTGTCAGTTTAGCAAACTGAAAATGACTGGAGCAATCATCTAGAAAATCATATTTTTTAATCATATAGGATTTATGGGGAGCTATGCCATTTAGAATTTTGCCTTGAGCATTGATTTATTGTAGTAGTTTGTATTCAGAGGTTGTACTATATGTGTTGGGCACTTATGTAGACTTACAGTACAAAAGTGGAAGAAATTCATTCTCTAAATTAAGGAAAGCAGCCACAGACATTGTTCTAAAGTGGTGGTTATCAAAACTTAAGCATGCTGTAGAACCACCTGGGAGGCCCATTAAAAAAAAAAAAAAATCTCTGGCCTCTCCACTCCAAAGTTTCTGATTCAGTAGGGCAGAGGTGGAACCAAAGCATGTGCATTTCACAAGTTCCCAGGAGATGTTGATGCTTGTAGAGAAAGAAAAAGAAATAAGAAAAGAAAAGGCATAGTAGCATTTTTTGACAGTGTTGTTTTGCTGTTATACTTTACTGTTCTAGTACATTGTAGGTTGTTAGAATCCTTGGCCAGTCATTGAGACAATCAATCTAAAACACCACCCAAACATTTCCACTTGTTGCCAGTTGAAAAACACTGCAAAGGTTCATTATTTTTGACTAAGAAATGTACTAGCTACTAAGTGCCCCATAATATATGATGTGTGTTTCTTAATGATTTTTGCAAGTAGGGTTTTATTGTTAGGCTTACAAACTCAGTTATTCTAAGAAATACAGAAAATATTTTGAAAATTTTATAAAATAAAAGACTTTCACTAAGCTGATTTTCATCTGTCCATATAATTATCAAAGACAAGACAGTGTAACAATCTTGTTTTTATACCAGTATTTTTGGACATGCTTATGCCTGATGGGAGAAGGTGCTAGAATGATACCATTTTTATGGATTAAAATGATTGCTTGACTTTTACTTTGTGTGAGTTTTTCTTTTACTTTTCTAGATTAAAGATAAAATATTATTTCTTAAGCATATTTACATCATAAGCATATCAAACATTTCACTTGCTTTGTAGCTTCATTCTTTGTAGTTGGTTTAGAAAGTAATCCTCATTACAGTTCAGTAGGTGGACATCTTTTAATAATTTAATGGTAAAAATTTATAGCCCTGTGAGAAAAATTTGTGGCAATATACATCTGTGTGTGTTTTTAATGTTTATTCAAAATTATGTAGTATCTTTAAAAATTAAATTGGCCCATAATGAGAACACATAGTTGTTATAATGGAAAATATTTTCTTCCCTAAAATTGTAACTATAAAAACAATAACCAATTTTGAGCCTTTCAGTGTATTGGTTGATTACCTTTGGCAAATATAATCTTAAGATCTGTACGGGAAATACTAAAAAAGTATTGCTAATTGTGATCCAGATGTTACCTGGGTATCTCTCTGGTCCAAGGCCACCCTAGCATAGATTTATCATCTCTTGATTTTTTCCCAGGAAATGTACATTGATAAAACAACTTCTTCTTTTTTTGCATTAGGGATTGAACTCGGGGGCACTTAACCAGCCCTTTTAAAAAATATTTTATTAGAGACAGACTCTTGATGAGTTGGTTAGAGCCTCAGTAAGTTGCTGAGGCTGGGTTTGAAGTCGCAATCCTCCTGCATCAACCTCCCAAGTTGCTGGGATTATAGGCATGAACCTCTGCATCTGGTGATAAAACATTTTGTAAAGTAATGATGGGTTTAGCACTGTGAAGGATCATTTATTTGTAACCAAGAAAGTCATCCCATCTGCCTTTTTATTTATTAACATTGTGCCAACACACACCCTGTTTTATCTTTCTGTTCAGTAGTCAGATTCCATGCAGTTTGCAAGCCCAGGACCAAGATGCTAGGCCACTTCTAGTGAAGGGGGTGGTGGCTTATTAGCCTATTTTCCAAATGAGTAATTTTCATGCAGGCTAAGTGAGAAAAAGCATTTAAAAAAATTATGTAGGTAGTAGATTACTTAACATGTTTTTCACACTGAATAATCAAATCATTTATAAATTCTGTGACACTAAAATGATTTAAAGCCCTACAAAACTCAGTGCTTACCTTTACTTTTATGCACACGAATGCAGGAACAAATGGTAAACGTTAAAAATGAAATTGCCTTGAATTTTCTACTTGACATCCTGTAAATTACTGAACTCTGATTTAGCATATGGTTCTTTCCTCTACCTCCTTGCATATTTACCAGCCCCACTATTATCTCACTCTAAAGCTGTAAGAATTTTAGATTATATTTGATCTGTTACTGGTTTTTAGATTTATGCATGATGATAAATTGAGGAAAATTAAATTTTTTTAAGTTGTATATTGTGCCACATTGACCTTTATCTTGTGCCATTATATTTAAAAAAAAATAGTATGGGGAAGATCAAAAGTTTTGGGAAACTGACAAGCTTGGGAGTTTAGAAGTGGGAAATAGAATATAGAAAATGGATATTCACATTTTTAGTTTCTGCTGTGAGATATGATGTTTTTAGTGTATGTATTATTTAGGTTAGAGGTAAGGTAAACTAAAGATTTGGGAGTTCATTCTGTTTAAACCTAAGAGTTGATGAAACATTTCTTATATTGGTGAAAATGCAGATTGATCTTTGAAATTATTTTGGAATTACCTGACTCTGGAAGAACACTACCTGTCACAACCAGTTTCTAATTCCTTTTTCTTACAGGTCTTATTTATATGAGCAATGATACACTTGTTAAGTATTAGGAACATTTGAAAGTCTTATTTAAATACACAGATGCTATATTGACAGTTGCTATATTTCTTGATGACTGGGTATGCTGGATACAACTGTGAACCCAGTGGGCTAGCCTTTTGCCCTAATTTGTGTTGTAGACCTAGAAGAGCAAATAAAGTGGAAGTGTTTTACCTAGTGTAATCTTACCAGTATTATCTCAAGCATTGAACATACTTTTGGGTATATGAATCTACTTTTGAATCTTCAGTTTTACATAATCCAAATACAAATATAAGTATTTCTGAAGAAAGTTCATCTGAATTGGATGTGGAAAGCCATAGTATAAAGACTAGAATGTAAAACAGAGATCTCTAACTCATATACTTGCCTGTTAAAATGATAATATTTGATGCTTGATGGAATAGGCTATTAAGCTAATTTCACCTTTTAGTTTTTATATCTCCTTTTAATGTGGTGTCCAGGAAAATTAAAATTGCATGTCTTCAGTTATTTTTCTTCAGTACAGTGTTGGTCTAGAGGAGTAACTTTGTCAAAGTCTTATTGCTTCCTTTCATGATTGTAATACCAGAATCCCATTGTACAGTCATTATATAATTCATTTATTATTATCTTTAAAAATGAATAATGTTGGGTTGTACATTTACCACTTAGTTATAATTAAACGATGTTTTCCCTACTGTAGGAAAGGAATTTGACCTCCCAGGTTTTAGGAAGTCAGTTGTATATGTTAATGTTTACACTCTACAGTTTTCATTTTTTGTGCTAGGGGTCAAACCCAGGGCCTCCAGCATATCAGGCATGTGCCCTACCACGGAGTATACCTCTGACTCCTTTTCACTTTTATTCTTTTCTTTTGTGTTTATTATCTACTTGATAATATCCATAAAATATTCTAGCAAATTTAATACCTGAAAACTTGTGACAGTCAAGATTTCTCTAATACTTGTGTGAGGTTATCTGTTCATTTAGAATATTAGACCTAAAAGAGTAGGTAACCTTACCTACCATATAGCGATTTATTCTCATTTAGTAGCAAGTCATTATTAAATGTTTGCTTGGTGGATGAGTAACACCAGTTGTATGACAGACATGGTGTTTATTAATAATGTAAAAATGCACAGAATAAGGCCCCCTGCTCTCTTGGAATTTGAAGTTTAATGGATATAAGTAGACTTGTAAGTTAACAGTATATTAATAAAACGCATAGAAAATGCTCTGAAAACTAAGATGCACATATTCATTTATTTGGGGGAGACTGCATCAGGATGATAACGTTTTAGCAGCTCTTAAAGGTGAGTAAATACTTGCCAATTGTAGCTTTTTGGACGGGTAGTGGTCAAAAGAGCTAATGGCAGTTAACAGAGACCCTGAACAGGTAATGAGAAGATGTCTTAGGAAGTGAGGCTGGAGTGGTAGAGAACAAACAAGAAGTAAAGTTTAGAGGCCAAGGATGCAGTTCAAAGATAGAAATGTGTGCTTTGTATGCATAAGACTATATGTTTAATTGCCAGCGTGTGTGCGCACACAGACATACATGCACGTGGAAAGTTGGAATAAGATTGTTATTGATCCAAGTTTAGGTTTTTATCTTTCAGATGACTGGGAGTCAGTGTAGATATTTTAAGTTTTAGAGTGACTGGATCAATAATAATGATGTAGAAAGCAGATGGACTGCATTGATCACTTACCTATCTCCCAACATTTCTATGATATTCCAAAGGATATTTAGAGGCAATGAGGACTGTGCACATTCCAGATATATATAATTAAGAGAGGGCGAATTTAACTGGGACTAGTTATTGGGATGAAGGAGGCAAGTGTTCTAGTAGTTTCTAGTTTGAAAGATGAGAGGGTACTAACAACAGCAAAGGTAAGTGTTTTCAGGATTGGTAGTAAAGGGAGATAGCCCTTAAGTAAAAATGAAGGTGTAATCTATGGATTAATGTTTTGGATTTGAGTGCTCCTAGGTGGTTGAAATTATAAACACTAGAAAACCTCTGCCTGGTAAATAAATAGTATTCTCGTGGCACCATCTATCACTGAAGGTGATGACTACAATTCTCCTTCTTAGCCATTCTGTTTTTTGTTTTTTTTTTTTTCATTTGCTCTTGCAATTTACTGGCACAAAATATCTAATGCATCCTTTTAAAACAACAACCACATCCTGGTCCTATCACTGAATTATGTCTCCAACCCTTTTTGATTTTATTTTGAGACAGTATTTCACTAATTGGCCCAGGCTGGTCTTAAACTTGTGATCCTCCTGCCTCAGACTTCTAAGTCGCTAGGAATTATAGGCATGCACCATCTTGCCCATTATCCCTTTGCTTTTTCAAATGTAGTAGCTTTCTATCTGAATTAAAACCAAATTGTATTGTAGGGCTTTATTTAACCCCCCAAGTCTACCTTTTTAACACTGTCTACATTCCCTGACCCTTGCTCACAAAATCTAAGGTGATTCTTCCCTCTTCCAGATACTTTTTAATGATTTTTAAAATATATTTTTAGTTGTAGGTGAACACAATACCCAGATACTTTTTAATGTATTTTAAAAATATATTTTTAGTTGTAGGTGAACACAATACCTTTATTTAATTTATTTATATGTGATGCTGAGGGGGCTGGGGTTGTGGCTCAAGTGGTAGCGCGCTTGCCTGGCACGTGTGAGGCACTGGGTTCGATCCTCAGCACCACATAAAAATAAAATAAAGGTATTGTGCCCACCTAAAACTAAAATAAATATATGTGATGCTGAGGATACAACCCAGTGCCTCACATGTGCTAGGCAAGTGCTCTACACTGATCCACAACCCCAGCCCTCTTTCAGTTATTTTCATAGGTCTCTTCCCAACAGAATTTCATGTCACCTCTTTTCATTCATGTCACTTCATCAGCATATGATACTTATTTGTGCCTACATTTTGTCTTCATTAGTATTCATACACAATGCTTGTCATTAAGTAGATTGCCCTCTGTGTCCATGAGACCCATAGTTGTGGGTTTAAGCAAACTCAAATTGAAATGTATATTGAACATGGATAAATATTTTGTTATTGTTCCCTACACAATACATTATAATAGCTGTTCATATAGCATTTACACTAATAGTAACTATAAGTAACTCAAGATGGAAGTATAGGAGGAATATGTGTAGGTTTTATGAAATTCTTTTTTAAAAAAATATTTATTGCTGGGGATGTGGCTCAAGCGGTAGCGCGCTTGCCTGGCATGCGTGCGGCCTGGGTTCGATCCTCAGCACCACATGCAAAACAAAGATGTGTCCGCCGAGAACTAAAAAATATTTATTTTTTTTTAGGTGTAGATGGACACAACACAATACCTTTATTTTTATGTGGTGCTGAGGATCGAACCTGGGTCCCGTCCATGCTAGGCAAGCGCTCTACGGCTGAGCCACAATCCCAGCCCTGGTTTTATGAAATTCTATACTGTTTATTAAGGGACTTGACCATCCATCCATTTTGGTATCCGAGGGGTTTCCTAGAACCAGTCCCCTGAGAATTCCAAAGAATGGCTGTATTTCTTTTTTTTTAAACTGGCGATTGAGCCCAAGAGTACTTAGTCTCTGAGTAACACCTGTAGCCCTTTTAAAATATTTTATTTGCTAAATTGATGAGTCCGGCTTTAAACTTGTGATCCTCTTGCCTCAGCCTCCCAAGCCTCTTAAAGGCATGTGCCACCACAATGTTTTTTTGTGTTTTTTTTCTCTTTTTTCTTTAAATATGGAAGGCTTCCCGAATTTGTGTCATTCTGGCACAGGGGCCATGCTACTCTTTTTGTATTGTTTCAGTATTATGTGTACTGCTGAAGTGAGCACGAATGGCTGTTTCTTAAACTGATCTGAGGAAATTTTCAGGAGAAAAAAATGGAGTAATGACCTAGATTGAAAGAGTAGAGTTTTTTGATGTTGTTTTTTGTATTTGTTTTTTAGCTGTAGTTGGACACAATACCTTTATTTATTTATTTTTATGTGGTGCTGAGGATCGAACCCAGGGCCTCACAAGTGCTAGGCGAGCGCTCTACTGGTGAGCCACAGTCCCAGCCCTATGAGTAGAGTTAATGTAACAGTTTGTGTGGATGAGAATCCCACATTTATTTATTCAACAAATATTTAATGAGCCTTTTTGTCTCAGCCTATGTGTATAATAGTTAAGAAAATGGAATTGGGCTTCATCTTTAAGTTTGAAGTTTAGTGGGTGACAAATGGGAAGAAAGTCTATAAAGACAACTTCACCATTGCTTTGGAGGGTCAGAGCAAGAAGAGCCAGCCAAGAATGTGAGTAAACCAAGTTTTGAATAAAATTTGGCTAAAAAGAAGAGCCACCACCATGCTGTCTTAGCAAAAAAAGGAAAGAAAAATACAAAATTGGGGTGAAAGATGAGAATCAAGACATCTTGCTCAAAGGATGGAGATTGGGTGAGGTTGGCAATATGGCAGAAGACAAATTTTTAACATTTGAAATAAAATGTGAAACCAAAATCATAGCCTATGTTCTGTGTATTAACTCTACCAAATATGTGCGTATTGGATCCACAGATACGAAGACCAAAGGACCTAGAAGTAAGTTTAAAAGACCAACATAAAGTCTCTCCAGGAAACTGGCCTTTTTTTCTAATTGATAATAAAATGAAAGCTACTGGTTTTATAAGTTTATATATTTTCCTTTCATATCTTCTCTTGATACTTATTGAAGAGAGGATTGAAACCAACTGAAGTGCAAAGGTTGGCTTCTTGAAACAACTAGTCAGTAAATACTCAGAAAGGCTTTCTAGTAAATTGCAACTTGAAGTCATTGATGAGTTCATCTATATAGACTTCCTGTAGGCGAGGATTATACAGACTTTTGTGTATAGCAGTGGCCTAATTATGTTAAATTTCTAGTAATTTGTAACTTTAACATGACAAAGTTGTTTAGATTTCTGGAAGAAATAATTCAGTAAAAGTCGTATATTCCGAAGGAGTACCTAATTCTCTTGCCAGGTTTGGATAAATTAGTTGGGTATTGTTACCAAAGCAGATTTAAAAGCTATCTTACAAATATAAGGGGAGAGCACATAATTCATAGTTCTCAAAACATTTCTCTGAATTGGTCTTTTGTGTTAATAGTCCCTATTTAAGAGTAAATTATTCAGGTATTTTCAAGTGTTTGTAAAGATCACCAGGTTCCCTTCTGTTCCCTTCTGTTTTCGGTTGCTTACTGCCTTTATCACGATCTTTTGAGTTTATTACTAACCAGTTTGACGAACTTTGAGGATTTTAAAAATTACCTGTGGCATACACATTGCTTGCTTTTCTGGATTGCTTTTGTAATTATGATTTTAAATATTTCCAGAAGAGACATCAAATTAACATTTTTCTTAATTGTATAGTAGACATTCTTGCATTTTGGTTTTTATCTTCATTTGCTAAATAAACCGAGTATATTCGTTTTAGTATTTTTTATAGATTTAAAAAAAAATATTTATTTTTTTTAGAAGTAGTTGGACACAATACCTTTGTTTTATTTTTATGTGGTGCTACGGATCGAACCCAGGGCCTCGCACGTGCTAGATGATCGCTGTATCACTGAGCCACAATCCCAGCCCCTTTGTAGATTTTTAAGAAGGGAATGACACCAAGTCTGGAGACTTTATAAATAAGTTTTACAGTTTTGCCATTTCTTGATCTAAGAGATGATGAAAAGTTGGGAGATAAATTATATAATGCTTGCCTAGCATGTGTGAGGCACTGGGTTTGACTCTTAGCACCAGATACAAACAAACAAATAAATATTAATAACTATAACATTTTTTAAAAGGATTATATTTCATATTTTTGAAGTATATAATATGACTGGTTTAACATTAAATGAACACTGACTGTTAATTCATTTTTCTTGTTTGTCATTTAGCATTTACTTTCCTTTGGATAACACATTCACAGACACAAAATAGCTTGGTTACTAAAGTTTGGGCAATCCAATGAGTTTTGCTTTTTTGTGTGGGTATTAATCAACATGTCACAATGATATATGTCTTCTATGGTATGTATCTTTTGAAGTACAAATAAATGGAATCAAGTCAAGTTAACCAAAACTGTTACAATTTTTTATAAAAGTAATATAGTATGCAAGGTATATTTTAATACATTTAATAGAACCATGACTAAAATTGTCTATCCTTTTACTAAAGGGGGAGGAGAACAGGTTTTTAAAACTTAATAATTAGCTGTTGGAACTATTATGTATACATTTTTCATATATTTTACTCTTGGATTCAGTATTTTACTATTAACTTTCCATGATTTTTATCATCATATCTTGGCTCCTTTCGCTACCCCCAGACTTCCCTGTGGAGGCCTTTATTTTTCTGCTTGTATCTTGAGTGTTTACTGGAGCAGTACCACTCCCTAGGGACTGCTGTGCTTCTCTGGAAGTGCTTGGCTGGGGTAACATTAAATGAACATTTGACAATTCATTATGACAATTAACTACCATTTTTTTCTGTTGTCCTTTTAATGTGTATTTTCCTGTGGGTAGCATATTCATAAACAAAACATCCTGGGTATTAGCACAGTCTCGTTTCTCTTTGGGTGTTATTACATTATTAAAAGTAATTTAAATACAGGTTGAGCATCCCTAATCTATAATGGATCAGAATCTGAAACTTTTGAGTACCAACATGATGGCACAAGTGGAAGATTTTACACTTGACCTCATGTGATTGGTCACCTTAAAAATATGTTATTGCTGGAGGCGGGGTTGTGGCTCAGTGGTAAAGTGCTTGCTGTCATGTGTGTGGCACTGGGTTCAAGCCTCAGCATCACATATTAATAAATACATAAAATAAAAGGTATAAAAAATATATTATTGCCAGATATGTTGGTGCATGCTTGTAATCCATGCAACTAGGGAGACTTAAGTTCAAGACCAGCCTCAGCAACTTAGCAACATTCTGTCTTTAAAAAGAAAGAAAATTGCCTTCAATCTATATTTATAAGTTGTATGTGAAACCTAAATTAATTTCATGTTTATATTTGGGTCCCACCCCCCAAGGTACCTCATTATGTATATGTGAATATTCTAGAATCCCACCCCCTGAAAAATCCCAGATCCAAAACACTTTTTGTCCCAGGCATTTGGATGAGGTATGTTCAACCTATATTAAAAGGCAAATTTAATGTTAAAGTTTTGTTGCAGTCATGATATAGGGTATAAACTAACATATGAAGATATAATCTAATAAGCTAACAATAAAATAGATGATTTTTCAAAGTTGTATAGAGTGATGTGAATGAATTGCAAGAAATTGTTATTACATTTGCAGAAAGCATGGATTGCTTTTGCTTAGTTAAGAAGATACTAGCAGTGGTGTTAGAATATGAATTCTAGTTCTATAGTAGGTATGGGTGACATGGAATATAAGTTTCATTTAACAAGTATTTAGTACCACATAAATGTAAATAAAGATATTGTGTCCACCTAAAAAACTAAAATATATTAACAACAACAACAAAAAAAGCTAGTGTGGGGTAGATGGTATGTGATCCTGTCTTCTAGCAACCCCCAAACCATTAGTTATAAAACAATGCAGGAGAGGTCTAAGAGAGAATAGGAAAGGATGGTAAACATCAATAGGATAATAGCACCTTTTAATAATCAACTTGAGATTTTTACTACATGTACATTGAAAGGTAGAAAAAAGAAAAAAATTTAAGAATGAATACAAAAATGTTGTAATTTTATGGGTGTGTTGTGGGATTTGGGGAGGTGGAAATGCTCAAGTATCTGAGATGAGTTGTATCTTTTTTTAGTGTCTGTGTGGGGGAACTGATCAGAGAGTGTCTACATGAAGAAAGGCTGAGAGCTCATAAATATGTACAAAGCTAGTAGGAACCCAAAATGAGACTGGATAACTAATCAATTTAGAAGCCATTAGGGAATTTTGGCAATAGAGGACTACTTATATCAGACGTTGTGGTAAGTTCTTGTAGTATTAGCTACTTTTAAGAGGCAGAAGCAGGAGTTTGATACCAGCCTGGACAATATAGCAAGATCCTGTCTCAAAGGAAAAAAAAACACAGAATTCGGATAAATAACTAGTGATTTGAGGAAAGATGGATTTACAGGATGCATTTACAGGCAGGGAAAGCAATTGAAATAACAGGCAGTAAGGTTGGGGAAGAAGGGCAGAGATCAAGAGTTGCCAACTGAGCCTGGGGGACGTGGTTCAATGCTTGCCACGTACCACTTGGTACCAAACCGTCAGGACTTGGGGGCTGTAATTGGATGTGTGAGGGGTTTGTTTATAAGAAACAAGGCTGCAGGGGCTGGGGATGTGGCTCAAGTGGTAGCACGCTTACTTGGCATGCGCGGGGCGCTGGGTTCGATCCTCAGCACCTCATGAAAATAAAGATTGTGTCCACCGAAAACTAAAAAATAAATATTTAAAAAATAATCTCTTAAGAAAGAAAGAAAGCTGCAATTAGGATTTTTTTTTTACCTGAATGTCAGGTAATTTTGATATTGCCCACTTTTAAGTATAATTAGGAAGGGTGAGGGTCAGGCTTTTCTGACACTTCAAAAAGTGTTCAGCATATAAACCCTGGTGTTTAGGAAAAGGTCTTGGCTGGATATTTTTTGATTATCAGTAAGGGAAATGAAAATAGCAGGACAGGATTTATATAGATTAGGGTGGCCGAAATATCCTTTTATACATCTGTAAACTGTTTATTTAGATCTTGCAGCAGTGGGTTAACTGGGACTCATACTGCAATACATCTAAATCCCTACTTCATAGAAGTCAGTAATTGCATTCATTAGGTACTGAAACAAGCATGTTAAAGATGGGGACATTTATTATAGATGGTGTTATTTATACTTTGTCAATGGCCGGCATGAGGAAATGTGGAAACCAGAGGTGGGCTAACACCTGCTCCCTCTTCCTGAAATCCTCCTTTGAGATCTAGAAATAACTCCTTATTATATCATTTTATCATTTAGGTCTAATAAAATCAACCAACCTTTGCAGGTCACAGTGGTGCATGACTGTAATCTGAGCTACTCAGGAGTCTAAGGCAGAAGGATCACAAATATGAGGCCAGCCAAAGCAACTAAGCAAGACACTGTAAAAAAATAAAAAAAGGTTTGGGAATGTAGCTCAGAAGTAAAGCACCCCCCAAATAAAACAAACAAAAAACCACACCAGCCTTCCAATACTACTTATGCATAAACTATATTTTTAAATTTGAAAAATGATATGCACCCAGTACACAAAATATGAAGTGTCACAAAATGTGAGTTTCCTTATGCTATCTACTGTGTACCCAGCTTCTCTATCCAAGGGCAGCCATTATTTAGTGGTTTCTTTTGTATTTTTCTAGAAGTTCCTATGCATTCAGACAATAATTTGTTTTTAGCATATATACAAATGTAAGCATGCTTGTTTCTACAGCTGTATTATTTCCCTAATAATTTTGGAGATTGTTCCAAATATATGCATATG